CCAGACTGCACAGACACCTGCTGGGGGAGGGAGGTGCGAATCGAGGGTCCTCTGTAAGCACCGGTGAGTTAATCCGAACAATAAAGTCCACTCCTGTACCCTCGGCGCTTCCCCCACCCTCCGCCACCACAAACACACTGGCAGTGTCTACACAGATAACTCGAAATACACTTTTCACGTCTGCAGTGATTTTTATGAATCTAAGGGGCGGATTTGAATTTTTTGTTCCCCTAATGATTCGCCCTTTCCAGAACTAATATCCATGCAACCGCAATTCCAAAGATCCTTCTGCTTGCGTAGATGGAAATGCCCCAGAAGTGAGAGAAGCCTGAGACAGCTTTCCAACACCTGGAGAACCGAGCACAGATCTCGAAGGCCCGGGATTCCCGTGAAACGCGCGGAACCCGTGTAGCAGCATCAGAGCGCATCCTTCCCAGCCGAGCGCACTTGCGGGGTCTGATGAAAACCCCTCGGGAGCCGCATGTCTCTTAAATAACCGAGCAGAGAGTGGAGGAGCAGTAAAGCCTAGGACTCGGTTACCTTCTACCAGACTACAAAATTTCAGCAAGGAGGCTGGCGTGCCGGGAGGAAGGCGCAGGGCCGAGACCCCTGCGGCGGGAGAAATGCAACATCGCGGACAGCGAACGACGTCCGCTTGCTCGGAGTCCGCGTGGAGCGAAAAGGCAGAGCTCCGCAGGGACCCAGGACTCCAGGCTGAGAGCGAAGGGAGCGCCACAAACAACCCAGGAGGTGTCGGTGCAGAGTCCAGCTCCAGGTCGCTGCGGAGGAAAGGAAACCGCCTTCCTTCCCTAGCAGTCCAAAGCCTCCGGGCGCCGCCTGAGCAGCCGCAGCCTAGGGCAGCAGCTCTTGCTCCGCTACGGAAGGAGGCGGTTCCCGCTCCGCCCAGCGCCGCGCCGCGCCCACTAGCCCACGGAAAAATCCGTTCCTGAAACCGGAGCTGGGAACCTCCGTCCTGTCTACAGGTTCTCTGTTGGTACGTGTCTGCGCCGACCTTAAAGAACAGAGTAATTCCTCTCCAAAAAATCCAATCAACATTTGTTTTGCTCACAAACGCTTTAGGAGGATGAGTTATCCTGTCCGACCACTGCCCATCTTTAGTTTTCCTTCAGCGTTTCTCCAGAAACCTCAGAGCGCCAGCCCCAGAGACAAATGTGGGCTGGATGTCATCGTCCTGGTTGGCCCTCCTGAATGCCTCCCCAGGTCCCAGCCTAGACAACTTCTTGAACCACTTATCGGAATTAAGTTAGGCGCAAACCCAAACTCGCCCCGCTTCTCTTTATAGCGTCATGCGTAGGGTTCGAAATAAACTACGAATTCGGTCCGTAAAGACTGTAGGCGAGTTGCCTCCTCCCAATTCCCCCTAAGCAAGAAATCTTACGAGGCACGCTCCACATTCAAAATCTTTTCTCCCTTTCTCTTGCAGGGTCCCTCGTTTAAACAGCGTCGGCGCCTTTATTCGCCTGACCCTGTGCGCAGGAAAACCCGCCTGGTCGGTCATTGTCCGCGACTGCTCCCGCCCCCGCCCCAATCAGTGTCACAAAACGCCCCTTTCAACAGATTCCAAACCCTCTTCACCCTGGCTCACCGAGCCTTCAACTTCATTAAGTGCGCGCTGCGGCGGCGCTGGAGGAGGCGAAGTTTAAATAAACCGGAGCGGAGAGGGAGGAGGGGTGGGCCTGGGGAGGGTTGCTAGTTGAAGCGGGGAGAAAGAAGTGTTTTTGAAAAGGGGAAAAAAGTCATCAGGGGAAAAGCGCTTTGTAAGCACGAAGACGCGCCCGCTGTGGCGAGAACAAATTGGATATGGAAGGGAAGTGTCCGCCCCCACCTCAACTCCAGCTCCTGGGTGGTCCAAGGAGCCCCAGGAGAAAGAAAGAAAGAAAGATGGGAGGAATAGCGGTGAAAAGAATTAACCGCTTTAATTGGGCTGCAAGAGAGAAGTGCGGAGAGGCTCACCGATGTGCTTCGATCACCCAAACCAAATACCTTTCAATAAAATAAAATGTCTGCTCTTCGCGGCGGCTGAAAAACGTATGTCAAAGTTTCAGAATCAAGGCTGTTCTTCACAGCCCTAGAAAGTAAATCTACAAGCTGAGGGAAATTCGCCCGGAAAGACCCCCTCCCCTTCCTTGTGGCCTCGGGCCTCCGGGCGCTGGATGAAAAGGAATGAAATTGAACGAAATTGAACGAAATGAAGTGAAATTGACCAGTGAAATTCGCCAATTTTCTTCCCCTTTAAACTGCCCGCTCTCAGCAGCACTCTCTGAACCCCAGGCCGATTTCTTACCTTCTTTTTTTTCTCACCTTCGAGAGATGAAGGTATGCCCTGGATATTTTCTTATTATTGTCACCGATTGTTGGGGCCTGCAGGGCAGCAGAACCTCAGCTGCCTCCACCCAAGCACGGAGAGAACCTACAGGAGCTGCTCCAGATGGGATAGCCTGTTTCTCCTCCCAGGAGGCCTAAGTGAGCCTTCTTAAACTGAACACCCACCCTATGCACCCATAGGTTGGGAGGGAGTCACTGATTAAGCCCTTCCAGTCAGGAGAAAGAAAAAAACAGCCAGGAGGATTCTACCATAGAAATCCTGAAACTCCCTCATCCTTTGCCTTGAAATCCAGCTCCCAAATGGGCCCTTCGCAGCTCCTAACAGGTTCCCCACAAAGACAACCTAAAGGAGCCCGGAACTCTAAATACCCTTCCTTCTTCTCTGCCTTCAGCATCTCCAGCCTTGGGACTCCCGCAGCATTTCCCTTTCTGGGTATTTTTCAAGGCCAGTTGGGCATCAGTGGCTTCTGACTCTCAGTCCTCAGACCACAATCTTCTCTTGCTCAGGTCTACCCTTCTTGGCCCACTGAGAAACTGGGGCCTGAGTCATGAGTTTGGGGCTCCAAGATCCCAAGAAGCCCTATAAGGGTACATCTCACTCTTATTCCCAGTCTTCTTTTTTCTACCTTTTCCTGATATGGATCCTCCAATACACATAGACACCAAGCAATATGCTCAGATAAATTCTGTCTCTCTCTCTCACACACACACACACACACACACACACACACACACAGGTTTGTTGCATCTCCTATAAATAGGAAGTATCTCATCTATCCACCATCAGACATAACTGACTTAATTTTCTCCTCTAAACAACCCGCAGTACAGATATTTACACAATTGATAAATCTTTTATGTAAAGCTCCAATCTAATATCTAGGAGTCACATATTCATGGTAAATGAGATCACATAGCTACAAAGTGCTTTATTGAGTGCGTGTGCACGTGCGCGCACGCGCACACACACACACACACACACACTCGTGTGCGTTCATGTTTCTTCAGTCACAGTCACCCTTTCTCCAGAGGAAAGAAACGAAATCAACCTCAAAGAAATGGAAGTAAACGGAGCAACCAGCCAGAGACCATCATCCCAGCATCAGCAGTTGTTTCTCCCTTTATACCATTGAACCCAACCTTACTTCACCTGGACCATTTGATAAAATGGTGAGAAGGTGGCCCACTGCATTCAACCTCCCTCCACTCCCACAGTCTCTCAACAAGGAGAGGGGTGCCTTGCCTCTGGCAGAGGGACTGCATGTGCTATATGCACCTTGAGCCTCGTCCCTCCTCCACTGGTGAAAGTCGTGAGACACTTGGGAATCCCAAACAACCCTTCCCAGCTCTGGTGTGTTCTTCCCACCCTAATTCTGATTTTGACACTCTTCCTATAGTAATCTCAGTCTTCCTCCTCCTCCTTCTTTCCTACTATTGCCAGAGGCAGGGGTCCTAGCTGAAGAGGCCTGTGTCGCTCACCCCACTCAAGTTCTCTGCATCTGGGTCTCTGACCCTGTCTTCTTCCTTCTCGGTCTGTCACTTCATCTCCCAACCCTTGCCCTCAACATGTGTCTGTTTTCTGTGAAGGCTACACTGCCTCTTCCTGCATTTCTGTTTCTCCTCTCCTATAATCTCACTAGAATATACAGAGAAAAGAGCTAAGCAATCATCTTTGCCTAACTCAAAGCATCACCTCTCACTCAACACCCTGACAAGTCTGGCCACTGGGAGTCCTGGGCACAAGCAGAGAGCCGAGAGACTCAGTAGGTTTATGGAAGACTCCAACCAGACCAGTGGATTTGCACTCAGGCAGTAGCTTCCAGCTGAGTCTAGCTGAAGGAATGGGAAGTTTTACCTTGAGTGAAACCCACTGACTGTATCATTCAGTTCATAGTGCTCAGCTCTAGCTGGAGGAAAGAAAGGTTCCACAGTCCCCAGTTCAAGCCTTTCACTCTGTTACATGGGTTGGGAGTGGTAGGGGGAGAGGGGATTCCAGACAAAGCCCTACAGCCACCAGGGAGAAACCTCTCTCTCCGCAGACAGAAAGACAGCGACTGAGAATCACAAACACACACAAAGACATATTCACCAACATACATAGAAATAAAAATGCATATATTCTGAGATGTATTTCACACACACACACTAAGACAAAAAGCAAGGAGCTGTGCCCACCCTAACACAAAAACGTATCATAAGTTCCACAAAAGCCCCACACTCAGAAACAGAGGCATACGGAGCATGCATCACCAGACGTATTCACCTTAAACTGTACTTAGTGGGTAGAGTGTTCACAAGCACTTAGCACCCATATCTGCCCAGGCTGTGCTAATGTCCAAACTAGAAGGGCATGAGAATCCTCAGGTGCATTTGAAACACCACCCCAGGCAAAACTCCAGGCAAAAACCTTCTAAGGACTAGAACGAAAATGAAAGTGCTGAAGGGGCCACAGGCTTCCCAGAGATCTGGCCTCATTCACAGCTGAAGGCCAAGACCAAAGTGTCCCTTGCATCCTATAAGCTCAGCCCTCCTCTGCCTGCTTGGGCTGCCCAGGGGCCTTTCCTCACACCCCCTCTGCTGAGGAGCTAAGGGTCTTCTGGGAGAGCCCCATCGGGGCAAGGGAGTGCAGGCAAGCAGAGAGAACTGGTGACTGCTGAAGTTCACATACATTTATTCAATTGACACCAATGGGGAATAGGGGTAGACAGATTTTTCTTTTCTTCCACACAGACCATCAGACGATTTCACAGAGTTTCCCCACAGTGGAGAAGTCTAAATCAATGCACACCCAGTGGACAGAGAACGCTGAGAGCAGCCCGCTGTACAGATATTTACACAAAATTACAGGACCCCCTGCCACAGAGTGTGCCCTGCCCACTCCACCCCTGCCTCTCCAGTCCCGGGCCCAGACCCCTCTCTTCCACCCAACCTCATTGCCTTTTGCCACAATAAATATCACAGGGCCTGGGACAGGGTGGAACACTGACAGGGCTGCTGGCCCGGGATGGCTGGACCCAGCCAGCCACGGGAAAGAAATTCTTTTAAAAACTCCCAAACACAAAAGAGAAAGGGTTTTCCTCAGTGGAGTGGGATCCAGGGTTTCTGCAGGGAATATAAAGACCCCTGCTTCACCTCTCCATTCAGCTCCGCCTGCGTAGACTCTGATTTAGGCTTCACAGGAAATGAACTTCCTTGGAGAACAAAAAAAAAAAAAAAAAAAAGGTTGAATTTTTCTTTTAAGCACAAAGCAGATAATAGATGTCTTTAAATTATAATGTTGGACAAGCAGGGTCTCAACGTTGGGGATGAAGTGAGTGGGGAGAGGCAGAAAGGGAGACCCTCTGTTGGTGTTTCTGGCAGATCCGTGGGGCCTGGCCAGGCATCTCTCTGGGAATGATTTCTCTCCGAGAGGCAGGGAAAAAACGAAGCCCCCACCCGCCCCAGCTTTTATTTCTCAAATGGTTAAGGATTTTGGCTGCGACGCGTAGCCCCGGGCCTGTCGCCCTGAGCGACAGAGCCCACTTAATCCCAACTATCTGCGAGATTCTGTGCGTGGAGCATGAAGTGCCGAGTCACGCGTGCCGGTCCAAGGTCTGGAGACTTCATAAATAGACTCCCTGAGTTCCGCTGGCACTGCAAGAGCTCCTGGGAGAGGCTGAGGAGTGCGGACCTAACAGGCCCTGGGCCTGCTGCGGTCAGAAGTGGCAGCCACTGAGGCCAGCGACTTTGCTAGCAAACGGGGACCCTGAGGACAGGAGCGCGTCCCCGGGATGCGAGAGGCGAATGTGGCCAGCCACGGGAGCCAGGGCCGGAGCAGTCAGCATGGCCAAGACCTGGGCTTGGCCCCCAGGACCCGCGGCTGCCGCGAATGGCGGTCCCGGAGAGCCCTCGCCGGTGCCCGGGGGTGCTGCCCCGCCGCCACTGTGGCCCATGATGTGGTCTATAGAGAAGGAAGGCCTCTGCCCTGCCCCGGCGCCCCCGCCGCCCGCACCACCGCCCGAGTCCGTCTTGAGGCCCTGGCGCAGGAGTGCGGTGGACAGACCCGCCGCGGTACCGGCTGCGGGAGGGCTCAGGGACGCGGGGTAGAAGGCTTTGGCGCAGCCCAGCTCCGCGCCTAGGAAGGCCGGCAGGCCGGCAGGGCCCGGGCCCGAGCCTGAGCCTGAGGCGGGCGCAGGAGCTGGGGCCGATGCCGCGCCCGCGAACACTGAGGCCGTCGGAGGTCCGGCTGGAGGTGCGGCGGCGCGGCCTGGGGGAACCGAGAGCTGGCAAGGAGCGGCGGCGGCTGCCGCGGCGAAGGCGAAGGCGTGCGGGTGTGGGTGCGGATGCGGGGCCGGCCCTGGCGGGGGTGCGCCATAGGCCGGGAGAGCCAGCCCGTAGCCGTAGCCGTAGGCGCCGTAGGCAGCGAAGCCGGGCAGGAAGGCGCCCGGGTCTCCCGCCGCCGCGGCCCCGCCACGCAGCAGCAGCTCCGGGTGAGGGTGCGGGTGTGGGTGCGGCGGCGGCAGAGGCTGCCGCTTGAAGCGCTTGCGGCGCCGCAGGAAGCTGCCGTTGTCGAACATGTCGGCCGACTCCGGGTCCAGCGTCCAGTAGTTGCCCTTGCCGGGGTTACCCGGCTCACGGGGGATCTTGACAAAGCAGTCGTTGAGCGAGAGGTTGTGGCGGATGCTGTTCTGCCAGGCGGGGAACTTCTCCCGGTAGTAGGGGAAGCGGCCGCTGATGAACTCGCAGATCTCGCTCAGCGTCAGCCGCTTCTTGGGGCTCTGCAGAATGGCCATGGTGATGAGCGCGATGTACGAGTAGGGCGGCTTCACCAGCGGGCTCCGCGTCGCCGCGCCCCCCGACGGCGGTCCCGGCCCGGGCCCCGCTGCACCGCGGGCCGCCGCCGCGCCTGGCCCTGGGCTCCCCGCTGCGGCCGCCGCCCCCCGAGGAGCCAGAGCGCGGGGCTCGCCGTCCGAGCAGCCACCCGACTCCTCCTCGTCCTCGGCTACGTCTGCCTCGGCTTCCTCCGGGGGAGGCTCGTGGCCATGGGAGAGCACGTCCCGGGGGGCGCGGGGCCCGGAGCGGGCTGGGAGTTCCCCCCCGCCGCTGCCGCCGCCCACCACGTCTATGTCTGCGTCCGCCTCGGACAGCGCGGCCGGGGAGCTCTCGGAGGACATGATCTCGCAGCAGCAGCTGCCCAGGGTCATGGTGCCGCTGCCGCCGCCGCCGCCGCCACTCTCCGGCTCCGCTCCGGCAGTGGCTCCGGCTCGGCCGCGCTGCCTCTAGGGCGAGTGTGTTTTGCGCGCGGGCGGGGAGGGGGCGGAGGACTGAGGCGGGCAGCGAGCCCCTGGCTCCGCAGCGCCCCCTGGCGGCCCAGCTCGGCCGCGCTCACCTTCCAGGGCACGCCCCGCCGGCGGCCCCCGCCACTACCCCGGGAGCCCGAGCCGGGACCCGCCGCCAGAGCGCGGCGGAAGGAGCTGAGGCCTTGCCTTACCTGGGCGGGCCTCGGCCCCTAGTCCCCTCGGGGTGGCAGTCGGGGGTGGGGGATTGTCCCTCCCGCCTAGCGGCTGCCTAAGGCGGAAGAGCCACGGGCTAGGGCGGAGCTCCCTGGGCGGGGTGGGACGAGGCGGCAGGGGCGGGCGTAGCGCCTCGGCTGAGGGGCCCGGCGGGAGCCAACCGCCGCCGCCGCGGGAGCTGGGCTCCAGTGGCCGGAGGCTGGCCCTCGTCTTCGCCGCCGCTCCCGCACCCTGCGCTCCCTGGAGCCGCCGGCTCCAGAGCGCTCAGACCCTGGATGTTAAGGCCCGCGCGGGCGCCAGCCGCAGCCAGGGAAGTGGCGGCGGTCCGCACGCGTCCCCTCCTCAAGGCGGCGCCCGGGCCACCCGGGCCGAAGCGCAGTGGGAGCGCGATCCTGAGACGCCGGGACCCACGCCGCCCCTGTGCGGCCCGCCGGGGCCCACCCGAGCCCGCAGGGCTTCCGGCCCGAGGGGAGACGCGTTCGAGTGATCGCGAGGAGCGAACTTGCCGCCCGCAGCCTCGGGCCTGGGAGAGGTGAGATTGCGGCGGCGCCCTCTCCTCCCTCCACGGTCGGGCCCGCCACCCCTCTCCGCGCGGGGAGGCCGGGGAGGGCGCCGGCCGCTGTGGCCGCGTTCCCGGGGAGCGGGCCGGTCTGCCGCTCGGAGTTTGCCTGTTCTCCGACCCTCTCGGTGTCGGCATCCGTTTGTCTCAGTCTCTGTAACTGTCTCTCACTCTCGTGAGTCTCTGTGGAAACGGCATTTGTCTGGGTGTCTGTCTGTTCATAGTCTGGGGATCCGCTTAATTTCTCCCTCCCCTCTCCCCGGACCCAGTCGCCCCGAGGACTGGACGCCCCCGATCTTCCTGGCTCCCAGGCTTCTGGGCCCCACGGACAGGCGGCAGGACCCCCTCCGCCCCCCGCCCGACCCCGCCTCAGTGAACCCTGACCTCGACCAAGTGTTGCCTTCATCTCTCCAGAATCTGGTGCAAGTGAGGTTGGCCCTCTGCATTGTTTCTCTCCAGCCGGGTTCTTGCCCATCCTGTTAGACCTCTTTCTCCCTTGGCCTCCAGGACCCAGAAACAAGTAGCGTCTATACAGAGTGGGCCCATTTCTGCCTCTGGGGCACGGAGCGGGAGATGGGCGCTGGAAGTGAGCAAGAACTGAGCGGTTGCCTGGGCTGCTGCCCCGACAGCGCCGCACAGTGGCCAAAGCTCGGGCGTGCGAGGCTGGAATCCCAGCTGCCTCCGCTGTCCCAACGCTGTGCGACCCTCATTAGGTGACTTCCCCCGCTTTGGAGCCGCAGTTTCCTGGTCTGCATAGTAGTTAAGGGCAGCGACCTTAAGTCAGGCTCCTGGGGTTCCAATCCTGGCTTCACTACTTACCCTCTCTGTCACCGTGGGCAAGTTTCTTTGCTCTGCTTCTGCTTTTGTAAAAATGAGACTAGTAACACCTAACCCACAACTAATGTGTGCAGTGTAGCCATATTCTAGGCCGTTTATGAAAACGGTATTGACAGCACTTTGCAGTTTCATTTAACAGCGGCCTCCAATCTATGGGATAGCCTGGTGTTAATCTAACTCTCCCATCCCACAGATGGAGCCACAGAGGCCCAGGATAGGGAGGAGGAACTCAGCCAGGTTCCTGCAAGGAGATAAAACATGGCTGGGTTGCAATCCTTTTCGCAGAATCCTCAAAATAGAGTTCTTCATCCTCCCAAGCTAAGGGCAGAAAAAAATGGAAGGCAGGTCTGGCCTGTGAGAGCAAGTCGCCTGGGCCCCCTCTGGGACTTCTGACCAAGGGGATCCACTTACCGCGCTGTTCCAGCATAAACTGCCCTTGGGGGAAAAAAGAAATATAGTCTTCAAACCGTGGACAGTAAATTGGACAGGGACTGGTGGCCCTGGAATTGGAATTTACTGGGTGACGGACTGACTGGGGCAAAAGGTCTTGCAGAGAAGCTTCTTGCATGAGTCCGAGGAAACTCACATACCTAGGGTTGCTAGATTTAGCAGATTTATTTTATCTGGCAACCCTACACATACCTCAAGCTTGCTCTTGGCTACATGGATATCTGTCTCACACACCCAGAACGCCACTCACAGATAAGCCACACTGGACCACACACCAATTCCAACACAGCTCAGCTCTGCTAGTGTCTAAATAAGTAGAGAGAAAAAGTGTTGGCATCATCCTACTCCATTTCACCTTCTGAATGTCCTCATTTCTTTTCTTTTCTTTTTTCTTTTCTTTTTTTTTTTTTTGAGACCAGTTTTGCTTTTGTTGCTTAGGCTAGAGTGCATGACACGCCATCTCTGCTCACTGCAACTTCCGCCTCCCAGGATCAAGCTGTTCTGCCTCAGCCTCCTGAGTAGCTGGGATTACAGGCATGCACCACCAGGCCCAGCTAATTTTTTTTTTCTTTGGACACGAAGTTTCACTTTTGTTGCCCAGGCTGGAGTGCAATGGGGCAATCTCGGCTTACCGCAACCTCCACCTCCTGGGTTCAAGCAATTCTCCTGCCTCAGCCTCCTGAGTAGCTAGGATTACAGGCACCTGCCACCACACCCAGCTAATTTTTTGTACTTTTAGCAGAGATGGGATTTCTCGATGTTGGTCAGGCTGGTCTCGAACTTGCAACCTCAGATGATCTGCCTGTCTCGGCCTCCCAAAGTGCTGGGATTACAGGCGTAAGCCACCGTGCCCCGACCTGAATGTCCTCATTTCTAAAATGGCAAATGGGAACCGGTAGCTTCCTTCCTTGTCAGCACTCCCCTGGCACCCCAGGCTCCAATCAGGGTAGTACTAGCCAGGGCATTTGCTGCCCAAATTTCCTGCTTCAGACAAGAAGTTCTACCAAGCAGCTGCAGCAGCCAGCCCTTGCCTCTGCCTGGCCTGTTCACCGCTACTGAGACCTACACTGGGGAAAGGGAGTACAGAATCCCCAACCTCTGCTCTGCAGGGTTGGGGAGGGAGACTCCAGATCCTTCCCATACATACTTTTTACAGGAGTGGAAACTGAGGTCCAGGAGATCATGTTACTTGTCAGGCTTTTGAGGGGCCCTAAGCTGAGTAGACCTAGGTGTCCGGGTTCCCAGCCCGGAACTCTGTTTATCCAAATAACTGTTTCCCTAACCGAGCTCCACTCTATAGAGGGACTTCTGGTAGCTTCTTATCCCTCCCAAGGTTCTGGGCCAGTTTGTTTTCAACCGTGTCAGGAGTAAGTGCACTGGGGCCTGGGAGAAGGGCAACTGTGGGATTTGGAATTTATTTCGTTTTCTTTGCTTCTCCCGTGATCCCTTCTTCTTTCGCCTGTGGGCTCAGCCTCTTCGGCGTATTGGAGCAGTGCCTGGGATCCCGCATGAGTCTGTCCCTCCCTCCACAAAAACCTGCACACTTTCCCAGAAGCCTTTGGCTGCAGCCGCGGAAGAGCAGGAGGCCACAGGCTCTTCGGGTCTTGGTTACAGGGTCTCTGGTCGTGCCCGGCCTCTTTCTGCATCTGCTCCACGACCCAGCCATCTCCCTCCGGCAGCCCATAACAATTGGAAGGAAGCGTTGTCGGGCGAAGGGGGATGCCTGTTGGAGTTTTCCATTAGTTACTGGGTGTTTTTTTTTTTTT